ATTCATCATTATTTCTTTGCAAGACTAACAAGGGAATTGTTTTGTTATTAGTATATGTTGATGATATTGTCATCACAGGATCTGACGATCAATTGATTTCTAAACGTCTTCAGGGTTTTTTTCATATGAAAGATTTAGGGTCATTAACTTATTTCTTAGGACTCGAGGTTCACTCTTCTGCCACTGGTATTTTTCTTCATCAGCACAACTATACGAAGGGACTCATTGCTTTGGCTGGTCTTCAAGATGGTCGCTCTACTGATACCCCTTTAGAGGTAAATGTCAAATATCAACAGAATGATAGTGACTTTTCATCTGAACCATCTCTATATAGACAACTGGTCGGCAGTCTCAATTATTTGACTATTACGCGTCCCGATATTTAATTTGCTGTGCAACAAGTTAGTCAATTTATGCAAGCCCCTGCACATTTTCATTTAGCTGCAGTTCGACGTATTATTCGATATTTGAAAGGTACTTCTCATCGTGGTTTGTTCTTTTCTGCAAAGTCTCCTATCACCTTAACAACCTATAGTGATGCTGATTGGGCTGGTTGTTCTGATACGCGCCGATCTATTTCTGGATGGTGCATGTTTCTCGACAACTCGTTAATCTCTTGGAAGAGCAAGAAACAAGATCGAGTGTCTAAGTCATATACTGAATCAGAATATCGCGTTATGTCCTCTGCTTGTTCTGAAATCATTTGGCTTCGTGGAGTGCTGGTTGAGCTTGGTTTTCCTCAGTTTGAGTCTACTTCTCTTCATGCAGATAATACTAGTGCTATCCAGATTGCTGCAAATCCTGTTTTTCATGAACGTACAAAACACATTGAAGTGGACTGTCATTCCATTCGAGAATCCTATGAAGAAGGTGTTATATCTCTTCTTCATATCACTACTGATCTTCAAGCGGCTGATATATTTACTAAAGCTCTATCTCGACAACGTCATCAGTTTCTTGTCAGCAAATTGATGCTTCTTGATCAGCCAACATCAATTTGAAGGTGGATATCAATCAGGAATAAAAGAAATCATAATAAAGAGTTTCCTTCTTCGCAATAATGCAAAGAAGGAAATATTATATTTGCACGGATTCGCTTCTTTTTAGCTGAATATTTAGATTATGAATATGTATTAATTAAGTTACTTAAATTAGATTATACTGAATATTATGTACCTAAAATAAATTGTACAAACTACTATTTATTGGAATGAAAGCAAAGGAAAAGGCATTCAACCTATTTACTCAAAATATTGTCAGTCTTTGGGGAGAGCTCTTAGTTCATTAGATATCTCCATTTCAAGTGTTGGTTATCTTTATGTAAATAATGTAGGCCTATTTTTCGCTTTTAAGAGTGACATTTTGGTGTTTTAGCTAAAGTTACAGTCATTCTATCGGATGACCAACATTTATTCCTTTAATTATAGATTATTTATTCAATATTTAAATGTTTTAATGATATTAAAATTAAGAGATATTGGACTCATCAAATTCCTCTTATGAAAACTCGATTTGACTATAAGCATGCAATGTTCATATATCATTTGACATTTTAATTAATGTCCCAAATTTCGCAATCATAGTTCAATTACTTAATTAGTGTTTATTTGGATTTGGATTTGATATAGTTTGGCGTCATTAGATTTGTCAAATGATCGAGACATCTACTTTGACCATTGGTTTACGAAAATTGAATTTCAAATGATCCTGAATTTTTTCCATTAGTTTTCAACTAAAAAATTACATCAAATTTCCTGTTTGATTGGATAATTCTCTAATGATGTATCATTTGCTCTCTAATTTTAAATGTTGAAAATTTTATCATTCAAAAAGATATATTAAATTTACAAAAAGGATGGTGACACAAAATTATAATTTTGATGAAATTAGAAGGTTTGATTGTTCCTTGGAAGTAAACTTGGACTTCTCTTCGAAGTTTTGAACCAAACGAATTCCTTTAAACTATGATCTTACCCTTTCTCGAGGTATGCAAAAATTTTTAAAAATTTTGACTCCATACTCTCCAGATTTACTTGAAATTGACTGTAGAGATTTTATTGGTCACCAAAAATGTCAAAATCAAGTCTATGACATTCATAATCAGTACCAGGGACCAAAAAATGCTGAAAAAAACATACATGATTCTAAAATCGGTCCCGGATTGTGTTAGAGTGGGTTCGTAGACGTACAGTTGTCATCAATGATGCTCAAAATATGCACTATAGTCATAAACAATTTTTTTAACCATAAAAATATTTTTTAGATTAAATAAATGCATATATACCCCCAAAAACTTATTGAGATTTTGCAAAAATCTAAATGATAGAATTTTATAGTTAAAATCTCTTAGGAAAAGTATGTAGATGGATATGGTCTTCTCACAAAACTTTAGACCAAAATGCTAAGTAAAAGTCAAGAATCAAGCATAAAATAGCACAAAATCGAACAATACAAGGTACAAAAAAACAAAAAAAGTTGGTATTTTTCGAAGGAGTTTTCTTCGTGGACATTTTAGCATTGCCATGTCGATGATTGCTCATACTAGACACCAAATTTCGAGACATGAAATTCGTTTAGAGGAAAAATCATAACTTCAAGTTAAGTGTAAAAGTTTTAACATGGTGCAAATCCGTCCAAATGAAGAGAGTCAACCCATCTTTAGAGAAGCTCAGAGCTTCATCATAGGGATTGAGAGCATTTCCCTTACCTGCAGCCAATCCGTTTAAATGGATGATGAGTTATAATTTTTTGTACTATTTTTTTAAAATTATAGATTTAAGATTATTGCATGCTAAAATATTTGTGGTAATAGCTTGAAAGATTAATGTCTTAGTATTGATGAAAATCATGCACACATATACAAATAAAAGAGAATTTCATAGGAGGTAGTAGAGGTTTTATATGAAAAATAAACAAAAGAAAAAACTGTGAGTGCTGACCTAATTTAAATAATCTATTATATATGTTTGATTATAAAAATTCACTCTTGGCCCACAAGTGAAGAAGATATGATTACATAGTTAATAGAAATTGTTTGATCTCAATGATTGTAATAGATATTATGGAAGAAGCAGTGAAGGATGATGACCATAGTTAGGCAATAATGATTGGGTGATGGCTATCAGGTGACGATAGTTGGGAGACAACAGTGGGTCGATGATGGGTTGGAGATGATATTTCAATGATGGAGGTCGGATGATGATAATTAAGCGATAACAATCATATAATGATAGCCTGGAGTAGTGGTTAGGTGCCGATGAATAGATGATGATGGTGGTCATCCGTGTCGATCGTCATGCAAAGCTTTAGAGTTCTTTATATATCTAAGTGTGTTCAATGTTAAGGTGAGCTTTCTTTTATATGAAGAATGAGAGAGATATTTTGGCTAAAATTCCAAAGTACTCTTTTAGACAGCTATTTTTTATTATATTTATCATAGTGAATTTATTAAATTTAACTACTCATTGGATTTCTCTTGCTAAGACACTTAATTTGATTGTAAGCATTTAAGATTAGGAGATTGTTGACTTTTCAATTAATATTTCCATATTTCCAACCACACTTCAATTGATTGATTTGGGTGTATTTAAACTTGACTATGATCACTTTTGATGTGATTAGATGCTGACAATTTAATTTGACAATAAATTTTATTAAATCAGAGTTTGAGTGGTCTTAAATTTATTTGTGAAAGTTTCCAAGTCAAAAATTGCATTAAGATTTATGCTTGATTAGAAGAAAATTTTTATGGCAATTATTAGTGAATAATTAGGATGATATTATATATCTTTTTTTGTTTTAGTTTAATTCATTAAATTAAAATATATTAATAAAGATAATAAATTATGCTTATTAGTTCTGAAATAATTTGTAGAATTAGCATTATGAGAGTCATATGATTAATAGGCTTTCATTTAATAACCTTTTTTCTTAAATAAAAAAATACTAAATATTCATCTATTTTAGTTTTTACAGCTTCTTATAATTGAATACATAATAGTTATATATTAGCATAGTATATAATGATATCATGCTCTAGTGGTACACATATTTAATATAAATGATCCAATTTATGCTTAATAAACTATATAATAAATATTGAAGCAATTATAAGGTTAATTTATGATAAAGCTTTAATTTTTTCTTATAAACCTTATGATTTAGAATAATTTGTTCTGTAACTTTGTAATCATAAAGCTAACTCTTTTCTCTGTTTCCTAAAATATAGAGTTAAGTTAGACGAAGAACAACTGAAGTAGCCCTTGATGTTGCAGCACATATAATATTACGAAGATTAGCATGCCTGCCAAACAATTCCTATGTATTTACATATCTAAAAGCTAAACACATACCACTTTACCTATGCATCAAAAGGTGTATTTCACTTTTAAAAATTAAAGATAGTGGCATTTTTTTAATGTGATAAGTAAGATTTGAGCGTTAGAAATGTGAAAATAAAAGTTTAGGCATTAGATATGCAATTTCATAAGAATTGTGTTGTATGTATGTAAATGCCCCATAATATTCCAACTCCCTCGACCTTTATGGTAATTATAGAATTCTTGCAAACATTGAGTATTTCATAACTATATGCTTTAATGGTAGTTTGTCCTGTTAGGATCTGCCTGGAAAGTCTACACTCAGCTGTAACATATTAAGCCAGTTTCTTTTCATATTAGTTTTGTGAGATGTTCATATATATATATATTGGAAGAGTTAGATATATACCACTATTTCCTTTGTATTTATATATCTAACACCAAAAGTTCAATTTTTACTTGTATGTCACCTTACCTATGCATGAAAAGGTGTATTACACTCAAAATAATGGCCTTTTTGATGTGATATGATAGGTTTGGGTGGTATATTTGTAAGAAGTAAAGTTTTGGTGCTTGATATGTAAATAATTAGGTGGTATGTATCTCAATGCCCGCCCCCCTTATTTATTTTGAGCAGTTGTTACATGAATCTAAACTCTATTTGTGGGCAATTGGTTGCAGTCATTCAAGCTGCTTGGAGGATTGGGAGAGAAACTGTGGAGTCAGGAACTAATCTCGTGCCAGTAAGAATTGCCTTTTAATAATTGCAATAATGTCAACCTTAAAAAATAAAAAACAATAAAAAAAATAAAATGTTCGCTCAGTTTTGATTGTTGATATCAGGATTCAATTCCCAGACCAATAGCAAAAATTGTTGTTTCTGGCGCCCTGGCGGCACTTGCTCTGTTTCTCTTCAACTCGATTCTCTCCACGGCATTCTTCGTGTTGGTAAAGTATTATTATTATTTTTATTGGGAGGGAGTGTTTACATACGTACCAACCAATTCTCATGCATTTACGTATCAAACACCTAAACATTCATATTTACATGTATATCATTCAAATCTTCAACATCACATAAAAATACCACTGTCGCTAAATACACATTTTCATGTATAGGTTCATGACACCAAGGTGTTATAAGTGTAAATATCAAAAATTTGGTTTTAGATGTGTAAATACATAAGAATTGTGTGGTATGCATGTAAATTTTCATCTTTTTTTTTTGTTTCATAGAATGATGAAAATAGAGTGAGAGCAAGAGAATAGGAAAGCTTTATTTTTACTTCAAAGTGCAGAGCGAAGCGACACTTTTATCAACAAAGCACGAATATGCTGTATAAAGTTATTCATATATAAGTACATTCATGTACTATTATGAAATATGAAGCATAACTTAAAATTTATTATATAAAACAAAAAAAGAATGTGGTGCAATGTCTAACTTAAAGAAAAATACTTTGTTATTAATTAAAATTTGCTCTGAAACCTAGTCTTTTTTTTATTAGTGGCATTTACATAAATACCACACAATTCCATCCAATGAAATTTCGGATTTAACGTCCGAATTTTAAATTCGACTCATGTTAAATCCTGATTTTGAGGGTGAATTTACTAAATCCGGATTTATTAAATCCTACCAACTCTAAATCTTCTCCTGTAGCCAAACATCACCTAAGGAAGTTTAGATCTGTAACATAAATGATAGAGGAAATGCATTCACAATATGAGGTAGGTAAATTTAGTGGCATTTACATAACTACCACACGATTCTTATGTATTTACATATCTAACACCTAAACTTTCACATTTATGTTTATAACACTTAAAAACATCAACATCACATCAAAAATAATATCATAATCATTAACTTTTTTAAAAGTGAAATACACCCTTTCAGGGACTGTTTTATGGCTCTTACTAAGAATAAGTTTCAAAGGTCAGTTTTTAGATATGTGAACACATAATAATTGTGTATCAAATGATCTGTGTCATCACTCTTGCATCTCTAGGACAAAAATTCATTCCAATCTGCATTATTAGTAGGAACATTTACATGCATACCACTTATTCCCAATATATTTACATATTTGACCCCCAAACTTCAATTTTTCTTATATATATGTCGCCTTATCTATGTGTGGTATTTAAAAAGTTAAAATAGTAATAATTTTGATGGTATAAATGAAAAAAAAAATGAGTAACGTTGAGTTGTTAGATATGTAAATGCATAGGAATTGGTTGGTATTTTTGTAAATGCCTATTTTTTATAATTTCTTAGAAAGAAAAATGAGAGATTTCTCATATGGCAACAGGCTTTGATGGGAGTCATTTATTTCATCTACATAGCCTTGAACAAGGATGAAGGCCCCAAGGGAGGAGGGGGTGACCCCTTGAGCGCAGAGGAAAGCTTAGAAGAAGCCAGGAGAATTATGGAGAAGTACAAGTAAGCAGCTTTGCTACTTATGAAATTTAATTTCTTTTTTTTTTTTAATATGATGATTGTCGAGTTCCTGGTTATTTTTGGGAAGATTTGCACACAAACCACTCAATTCTTATGTATTTACATATCTAAGACAATTGTTACATACATACCAGTTTAAATCGTTGTATTCTTGATGTGGTATGAAAGATTTGAGTGGTTTAAATTTAAAAAAAAAGAAGCAAAACTTAGGTGCTAGATACATAATAAGAATTGAGTGGTATGTTTGTAAATGCCCCCTTTTTTTTTGTAAAGATGTATTGAAGTTCTGTATTTTTGGTCAGAGTTTCTTAGCCAACCTTTTTAGATTGTATTATAGAAATTTATTTTGAGCCTGTGTGTTTGCAATGGATTATTTTGTTTGATTTATCCCACACATGAAAGGGACCATTAACCCACACATGTAAGGAATATTTTGACAAAAAAATTATAATTATTTACATAATTTTCCAAACTTAAAAAAATGTGGAAGATGAACTCTGCCGATGCAAAAATAACTTCTAAAAGATAGGAGGAAGCATGAAAGGGACCATTAACCCAGCAAATGATGCCTTGAATACTGAACTGCTGCTAGAAGACCTGCAAGAAAAATAAGATAAGATATGATAGTTCCAAAAATCATGAAAAATATTTGCCAAATCTGAGCTTTTAAGAAAAGGAAAATTTGCATACATACCATTCAATTCCTTGTATTTATATAATAAAATATCTAAACACCTCTGAACTTATGGTTTTACATGCATACCTCTCTAACGATGCATGCAAAAGTGTATCACTCTTGAAGCAACACTCACCCAACGAGTTAACTACTAACTGCTCCTGCTGCATCTTCCCCATTACAAACTAATTTTAAGCCGCTTGTTGGTTTCTCTTATACTCTTCATTTTGCAACCCGAAGCCGAAGCCCGGTCTCTCTACTTCATCTTCTCAATCATGATGAATCACTCGGCTCATCTCGTCTTCCTCTCTGACCAAAGTTCACACGATATAGCCGCAATTAAGGCTAGCCGAGAAGCCAATAAAGGGATCGCAATGTACAGAGACCTAGACAACCAACAACGAGATCGTAACGTATAATGACCTTCAGAACTCTCCAATTTTCTATTGAAAACCAACGACGAGATTATAGTGTACAGTGACCTTTGGAACTCTCATTTTTCTCTGCTTCTCGCACGATAGAGCCGATACGGGCGCCCTTGGCTCCCTCTAGAGAAAGCAACGATGGGATTACATCATGCAACCTCTCAATTTTCAATTTCGGTTGACTACTCCTCGCTGTGTTGCACCATTTGTCAGCGCTAGCCACATGAATTGCTCCAGCAACCTTCGCTGCGTAGCTTCCCCTCTTCGCAGCGACCTCTCCTGATTCAGTCAACGACTACAAGGAGTTGAAAACGTAACACAATGAGACCAACACATACAAAAACCTTTAAAACTTCTGTTCTTTCTCTCCTTCTATACCAGGGAAAAGCAATGAAGAGATCACGGCAGACGCAGAATGCTGAAACTAATAGTTTGCATGCAGAGCCAAACAACTCTCCTTTTCACGCATAAGCCAAAACCCACAGCTCAATGCTCCTCCCTCTTGTTTTATTTTTAATTTTTGGTTGTTGGCCCTCATTCGTGTAATCCTGTGCAGGAATCTGGCCCAAAAACCCAAATTCGAGCCCTTCCTTCACCATTTTATTATTTGTGTTTTATAATATATACATTATTAGAATATTAAAATAATAACCGCTATCCCTAGCCTTTATTAATCTACAAATTTTCTTTTTTTATTGTTATTTGCTTTCGTATTTTCTTTTATTTTGTTTTTATTTCTTTAATATTTCTCTTTATTTTGTTTTTATTTCTTTTCTTATGAGTGTCCCTTGTAATTCAATTTATATACCCTCTTTTTATTAATAAGATACGTTGCTCTACTCCAATATTTCAACATAGTATCAGAGTCGGGATCTAACCCTAGATCCCAACCACCATCGGGCTTCCTTGCAGGGTCTCCAGCAGGAACTCCTAGTTGCCGACCCTACCCTGTTGTACTTTACAGTCACCGGCCTTCTCCCTGCAGAGACAGATTCTCCCGCAAGCCATCATTGTAGGTCATCATTGTTGTTTTTCTCTGACAGCTAGTCTCTCCTGCAGTTGTTCGGATTACCTGTTTTTTTCCAACAATATATGACCTACAAGCTGAAATCCGACGACGGCTAGTCTCTATAGACTGGTCGTGATACCTAGAAAAAGTAGAACTCCATGGAACTCTCGATTTATCGTTCATATATGTCCCTCCCTTCCGCTAATTGCTCTATAGATGGCAATCCATGATACACACTTGGATGTAGAAAACTACGACCAATTCTATGAGATGTCTAAGAAGATTTGGTAAACAAAATATGATCAACGACCGTGACACAGTACTACAATGACCCGGTGGCACTCTGGATGAAATGCGACATTTACTACGACTACATTGGGGACCCTCCGACCTTTCTCTCTTACAGAAAATTGCAGAAAAGGATCACATGATGAAGTCGGGGGTCGTATTCTTGATTGAGACCCTCTTCCTTCCGCTCGTGCTGCTTTCTTTGAGATTTGCCACAGACTTCTCATGCTGCCTTGGTCTCTAATAGTGCCCAGCCCTCTCGGGCAAGTTATCCCACTTGTGATTACTGTCACAAACCCAACCATACTCGTGACAAGCGTTGAAAGCTCCACTGAAAACCGACATACAAATCTACTGTTGCCAAGGGTTTTAATACGACATCATAGTCTACCACTATTCAACGGGCTCCTATCCAGAACATTTTGGAAACCTCTGATTCTCTGAAAAAGTCAGATGGAGCACTTAGTCAAACTATTTGTATCCAAACAGTTCTCTGTTGGCTTGTCGACCTCACACGTTCGCCAAGGTACCATCCCTATGACACTCATATATTTTTCCTTTCAAGCCCGTGGATCATTGATTCAGGTGTCACAGACCATATGACTGGATGCTCATAAGCTTTCTCAACATACTATCCATATTTTGGAAAAGATACGTTCAGAATTGCGGATGACTCCTATAATTCTATTGTTGGTAAATGGTATGTTGTTCTAACGACAAGTCTAACTCTGGAATCTGTGTTACATGTACCACTGTTGAAGTGCATCCTTTTATTTGTCAGTAAGTTGACACATGACATTGATTATGTTGTGCATTTCTTTCTTGATGTTTATGTCTTTCAAGATCATAATTTGAGATGATTGGAACTGTTGAGCAAGTAGCTGGATTCTACTACTTTTAAAAGAAAAAAACACGAAGAACGAGGACATAATACTCGGTAGTTGTAGCCTATCTCAGGCCACTGAATGTCCCATTATGTTTTTGCATTGTCGTTTAGGCTATCATAGTTTCCAATATTTAAAATATTTGTATTCATTGATGTTTTCTAATCAAAGTCTTTCTAGTTTCAAGTGGGAGACGTGTCAGCTAACCAAAAGCATCGGGTTCAACCCAACCCACACATACACACCTTCGACTTCTTTTTCACTCATTCACAGTGACGTATGAGATACTCTCGCACTGTCAGCTACACCAATAACAGTGATTTTTAATTTTAATTAATGATCACACTCGGAAGATGTTAGCTTATATTTTAAAAGACAAATCGAAAGTTGTCACTTTCTAAAATTCTACACCTTCATTTTAATCGACTTCAAACTTTAATTCGGGTCCTTCAGACAGACAATGATCGTGAGTTTTTAACTCTATTTTAGGTGAAATATTGATATGAGCATCCTCTACCATAGCTTGTGTGCGGAGACTCCTCAACAAACTGGGGTAGTCGAGAGAAAAAAATCGACATCTCCTCGACATTGCTCACTCATTTATGTTTCAATCTAATGTCCTGAAACGTTTTTAGAATGATGTCATACTGACTGTTACCTATCTCATAAATAATATCCTCTAAAATTCACAACATCTGAGCCTTCTTAATGTCATGCATTCGTGCCAATCGGGTTTTCTCCACTTTAAATCCCAAAATATTTTAGTACATAGCCTTTATTCAGAACACTGACTCCATTCAGAGTAAACTTGATCCTGAATCCATAATGGGTCTTCTTTCAAAAAAGATATTGGTGTCTTGATCCTATCACAAACAAAATCTATGTGAGTTCTATGTGAGTGTTGTTGTCTTTTTTTTTTTTTTTTTGAAAGTATTCCATATTTTCCTAACTCGACCTCAAGTGAGGGGAGATGGAGTTTTTGGACAGTATTCCTTATCCTACTTCTATGGATGTTCCCTCCAATGTTCTTGCCACTGAGGAATCTCTGGTTCCTGTTGTTCCACCATCTCCCACATTTCACGTCTACACTCGACTATTGACCTCATTTTTGGTGAGGTATGTTTCCTTCCCTAGTGCCTAAAATATAACCATAGGACTTTCTTACTTTCCTAAAGGATTAGTACTGTGACCCACACTATTTAGAAATTTAAATCATTTCTTGACTCCTTGTAGTCTCATATAGGCGGTTTGAAAATTCTTAACGTTTAGTTGAGTCGATTGAAACCAATATATCTAAACTCAAATCGAGTTCCCATAGAATTGAGAAAGTCATAAGGAAACCCTTCGACGTGCGACAAATGACTTGTTGTCGAGAGCGGCCTGCTTGACTTTGGTTGTTGCTTAGGCAATGACCAGCCAGCACTTTACCCGTTAAACGACTCCGATCGGATAGAAGAATGTTACATGTCGCGCCACGCGTGAGTCGAACTCAATTAGACTCGATCATCGAGCTATCCCAGACGACAAAACAAACCGCGCGAGCACGTCCGGAATGTAAATTTTACCTAGGGAGCACATTTACGTCAATATACTGACATATACAAAACAAAAAAGGCGCAAAATAATAATTAGATTAATAATACAAAATAAAAAAAGAAATGATATAATTAAAATAATAAAAAAAACAAACACACGCACACAACCCTAGCCACTCCTCACCCTAAGCTCATCGCTCCTCTTTGAATGGAGCGATTATTGCGTGCGGAGAAGATCTGGTGCTATTTGGGACTTATTTTGACGCCTTCTTTACTTGTTATCTTAAGGAGCTGCATGCATATCACTTAATTCCTATGCTTTTATAGATCTAACACCAAAAACTTCAATTTTTTTTTTACATACCTTACCTATGCAGGAAGAGCCGCATTTCACTTTTTATTTGAGGTTAAAATAATGATCCTTTCATGAGATATTAACTATTTGGAAGTCACAAACGTAAGAAGTCAAATTTTAGATGTCGGGTATGGAAGCAGATAGGAGTTGAGTAGTAAGTATGCAAATCCTCTCAGTCTCTTCATACCTTTGCCTTGATATCAGTTGTGGAGGTGTCAGATTTAAGTTGAAACATTCATAATGTGGCAACTTTATATGGATCATCGAGCGATGCTATAAATGGGAGGAGACGGGGAATAGTGCGGTGATAAGAAAAATATCTACGTACGCAAGAATAGTATTGTAGCTCTTCGTGCGATGACTACGAGAGGGTGTAGGAGTCACATACTACCCGCTACATTGGGTAAAGAGTTGCCTAACCTTCAGGGGTTGCTGGTGGTCTTAAGCCCCAAAATGGGACTGACTTATGAACAACCTCATTTACAAAAAAAATACATTACCTCTTCTGATGAATAAAAAAAAATTATATTTTGTATGATAAAATGAAAAGTCTAAATTATTTTTATGACTAAACAAAAAAAAATTAAAAGTTTTGAGTCTTACTTATGGCGGTTCATATGTCAGCTATATAGGTCGGGCTAAGAATTACTCTCCTCCTGATTGCCATGTTGGCAGTTTTTTACCCTCTCTGTTGGGTTTCTCGTACATGATACTTACAATTGCCTACGGATATCCCTTGAAAATTTTCAGAGCTCCAACCTTGATTCTGAGCTCCATGTTAACAAAATTCTAATATGCAGCTCTGATATTTCATATATGTGTCACTTTGCTTTTTTCACACACGGGCTAATATCTTCTGATTTTGTTTAATCTATCATTATATTTACATGTTCTACTTGTAATTCTAACCCCTTTCACCAGCGGCATCGTAGGCGGCATGTACCTATTACCACTTTCCTTTTTACTGCACCTTCTTTCTTATTGTGTCTTATTATACATATTTTGTTTCTACATGCAATATCATTATTCTGTTATTTACAATACCTATAAAGGACCTCTAGGGTAGGTGACAACAGGCCACCTGTTTAGAAGGAACACTACAAAACTTTGTGACTCAACAATAATAACAAAAATCATCTCAAATACACATGTCGAAATCACAACATTACAACAAGGAGCTTAGAGCAAGCTTTCTGGGAAACAGAACAATGATGCAAGCGGACAAAAGACAACTTCAGAAGATGACAGGATTCAGTAACGAAGCGACGAGCCATCTTCAACTAAACTTTCTGTAGTTTTAAACAAAACAAACTCATAAGATTTTAAGGTACTTCGTCTGGCATGACGTAAATCCTTCTCACGCTATCCTTTAGGCCTTTGCACAATCGTGTTATGCAATATAAACCTTAACATTTTAGGATTCTAAAATTGCTTGTTCGGTACGACATAAATCCTCCTATTTTTTTGGGCTATTATATATGTAAGCCCTGAATTTTAAATAATTGGAAGGAACAAACATTAAATAACATTATTTCAAAAATGTAAAGTTAAACAATAAGAGTCTGGGAAGTCATTGAGGTCTTCTTCAGAATCTGTGACATCTCCTATCTTTTTGCTCTCTCGAATTACGATAGTAACTGTTCCTACTTG